GGATGCGAGGAGGCAACATGTCTAACTCCATCTTGCTGAAGAGAGATACCAGGGGCATATGGTCGGTCTCCACACTGAGCTGCAAACCACGTACGAACTCGTCAAAACGTCGTACAGCCCACACCGTGGCCAGAGCCTCCTTCTCTGTTTGGCTATAGTGCATCTCTGTCGGGGTCATGGCCCTAGATGCGAAGGCCACCGCCCTCCTTTCTCCCGAAGGTTGGTCTTGAAGGAGTACGGCACCGATACCGAAGGAGCTGGCATCTGCCGAAACTGTTGTGGGGTACACTGGGTTGTACTTGGCGAGACAGCAGTCTGAACTCAAGAAGTTCTTCACCCGTAGGAATGCAGCCGCCTGCTCAGGACCCCAGGCCCATACGTTGCTCTTCGACAAAAGTGCTCGGAGAGGAGCGGTGACTTCGGAGATGTGCGGCACGAAACGCGCAACATGGTTTACCATGCCAAGTAGCCTTCGGACCCCTGCAACATCCTCAGGCCTTTCCATTGCCTGGACAGCCTGAATCTTGCTAGGATCCGGCTTCACACCTTCTGCTGATACGACGACTCCAAGGAAGCTGACTTCGGACACTCCGAACACGCACTTGTCTTTGTTGGGAGTGATGCCAGCCTTCGATAGTCGGGAAAGTACCTCGTTGAGCCGCGCGTCATGTTCTTCGCGCGTCCGTCCAAAGACAAGAATGTCGTCAAACAGAAGCAGAAGCGGCCAAAGGGAGTAATGAAAGTGGTGTACTCCTGACTTTCCTTGGCAAGTTTCACCTGGTGAAATCCGGAATTTGCGTCCAACTTGGAGTAAACAGTCGCTTCTCCCAGAAGTCCGAGAACTTGGTCCACCGTAGGGAGCATGTGCCGTTCTCGAAGGACGACCTTGTTGAGCTTCGTAAGGTCAACGCAGAGACGGTGACCACCAGAAGCCTTCGGAACGACGACTATTCCTGCACACCATGGGGTGGGGCCTTCAACCCGACGAATGACGCCCTGTCGCTCGAGCTTCTCCAGTTCCGTCCTCACGACCTCTCGTAAGGGAATGGGTATACGACGAGGTACACTCAAAGAGAAAGGAGTGGCTTTGGATTCTGGCCGGATCGTGTACTCGTCGGGTAGCGTACCCAGACCTGTGAAGAGCTCAGTGAAGCCTGGGTTGACTGCAGGCTTGGCTGCAGAATCGAGGAACTTGATGACCTGAAGGTGCTGTATGGCAGAGAAGCCCAGCAAAGGAGTACCGAGAGACTCGATGACATACACCTGCTGCTTGGAAGATCTGCCGTTCCACCACAGCGTCGATGAGAAAGAACCCAGCACTTTAAGCGGGTGGTTGCCCGGTCCATGAATGGCGTTTTCCACCTTTGACAAGCGCTTGGGAATCCGAGGGAAATCATCTGGAACAGCCGTCACCTCGGCTCCCGAGTCCACTTTGAAGGACGCTGTATAGTTGTTCACGGTGACGTCAATGTACTTAGCCATCTCTCCGGCGTCGACTACAGAAAGCTGTAGAGTGCCTACTTTGGCTTGCTTTTTCATGCGGGAGAGACAGACCTCTGCGAAGTGGCCTTGCTTACGGCAAAAGTTACACTTCGATTTGCGTGCGGGACAGTCCTCACGAGGATGAGGTGAACGTCCGCAGAATAAACAAGAACCAGGCCTGCCCGTAGAGACGCGAGACGACTGGTCGTGAGCAGCGTTGGTGGCGTTAGGCTTAGTGCCGCGCCGCTTGAGACGACCTGCGAGCTTGGTCGCGTCAAGATTGACACCTTGACCTCCTGGAGTTTCAGATTGACCCGTGCTTGCCTTGGTTGCCTTTTTTTTGTCGGCGTCTTCGGCTTGGCGCGCTTGTACCCACGCGTCTTTGAGCGTGAGCTTTGGGTTACGTCCAAGACGGTCAGACAGCTGAGAGTCCCGAAGACCGACGACAAAACGATCCCTGACAAGACGTTCCTCGACCTCCGGGGTGCCATAGTTACAGCGCTTTACTAGACGCATCAGCTCCGCGTAGAACGCATCTACGGTTTCCTCCGCTTGTTGGACCCGCCGATGGAAACGCGGCGATTCGTATACTTCGTTGACGGGGTGGACGAAGTGCTCGGTGAAACACCGTACCACGGCGTTGTATGGCGCCTCGGCGGACAGCGAAAAGGACTGCAGCAAGCGTCGGGCCTCCGATCCCATGCAGTAGAGCAGCAGACGTACCTGAACATCTTGAGGTGCCGAGGAAAGACCCGATGCAAAGGCGTAGTCTTCATACTGCGATAGCCAGGAGGGCCACAGTTCCGCGTTCGAAAAGTCGAAGCTGTCAGGCTGGCGTAAAGCGATGCCCCTCCAGGGTGTGGAATCGGTTGTGCTATCAGAGCTTGCCATATCCCACTTCTGGCACCATGTAGGATTCAGAGCCTACCTCTCAAACCCTGTGAGGCGGAGCTCAGTAAAAGACATCCGACACCGACGGCTGCTCGTGAAGAACTCCCCCTTTACTTCTTCTAAAGAACACGCACGCCCCTCTACACTAAGAGGGCGCCACTAGCTGGACAAATAGCGACCACTACACAAACTAAAAAGGCTCTACCCTAAGATCAATTGCCAACAGCATCAACAGGCAGAGTGCAGTGTAAAACATCGACTCAAGTATGTGGAATGTCGAAGTGGAGTAGTATATCAAATACCGTTTACATGCGACAAAGTGTATGTAGGTCAGTCGGGGCGATGCATTAATACCAGATTAAGAGAACATGCCCAAACGTTAAAATCAGCACCATCGGGACATCTTGCGGTGCATGTCAGAGACTGCAAATGCTCACCAACATTCAACCACACCAAAGTTCTAAAGCGGTTCCGTGACAAAAACACCAGAGAACTGTACGAGGCTCAAGTCATCCTCACCAGTGGCGATAAGTGCATAAGCGCGCCATCAGTGACCCTAACACAAAAAGAACTTCAGTTCCTTCGGTGTTTCCCCTGAAGACCTGAAACACAGAGAGAACTTCAGTTCTAGCGGTGTTTTATTTGAAGACGTTTTAGCCGTTTGCTCAGCGTAATTTTTTTCTCTTCTATTTCACGTTTTTCTTTTTCTTTCGCTTTTTGTAGTATAGAGTTTTTTTGGGTTTTTTACGTGACAAGTACTTTGCCTTTGGCTGAAGTTAAAATAATTTTTATTTCAATTTATAATACTAAATATGTTCTTTTTAGCAGCAGTGACTTTAATTTCATCTTTCTTTTCTTCCTTTTCTTTTTTCACTTTCACCTTGTCGTTCTCAAGATGCTCTATTAAATTTGACAGTTGTAAGTAAGCGCTCTGTCCTGTCCCCTCCTTCTCTTCTCAGTCTTTTGCGCTTTCAAATTCTCCGTCTCATCCATTGCAAAGAAACAGGCCCTATGGTGTACAACTCAAAAAGAAATGGTATCACACAAGTTTCTGCAGGTCATTCAAAGACTTAATCACATGCACTTTATCCCGTTCCTGTTTACGTACAAGAACGTTTCCATTTTTGTACCAGACATACTTGTAGTTTGACTCCTTAGACCACTCTTTTGTCTCCCAAAAAAGTTCCCTGTCGTGACTCGTTAGATTTTCCAGTATGTAAGCGTCATCCTTTGCTCTTTTTAGCACCGATCGTTTGTTCAACCACTCATCTTTGGTCGTCTGTTGAACGAAGCGTACGATGATGCCTGGGGTTTTATCTGGTTTGCATGGTAGCCTGTGAATTGCCGCAATGGCTTTCGTTGTTAGGTCAGGTACATCAAGTTTCTTTGCTATTTCATTTACCTTTAGCAACAGATCTTCGCTGTCAGACTTTGGTATGCCATGAAATTCAAGGTTCAGCTTCCGGCTTCTCCATTCTAAGTCATTGACTTGTAGCTTTAGTCTTTTTATTTCCATCTCGGCGTCAGTTCTTTCCAGCCTTTCTATCCGTTTTTTCAGCTGTTTCACCTCCGTGCTATGTTCACCCATTTGCTTTAACACCTCGTCATAGTTGTCTGACATTTCTTGCATAGATTTTTCGATACTGCCCACGTTTTCTCTTAGGCTCATCAGAGTGTCCAATTTAGCGTTCTTCGCTATTAACATAACAGTAATGTCAGACCTTTCCTCGGGTTCATTTACATTCTTAACGCACTGATTTCCCCGAGATTTTGCCGTCTTGCATGTTTGACACCACCAAGACTTTTTCCAGGCATTACCTTTAAACTTAAAAGTTGCTTCCGAGACACCAGAGCAAGGTAGATGATAGGCATATTTACATCCCGTGCATTCTAACTTCAATTCCGTTCTTCTTACTTGTTCTGTACATGACGGGCAAACATTGTCCATGCGTTAGCAAAATCGAAGGCACGAGACAAGAGAAGCGAAAAAAAGAAGTTCAAAACTCAACTAGCCTGCAACGATAGCGAGGTCTTCAATAAATAACGTGCCGTGCGTGCCGCCGCTGCCGCTGCTGTGTGCCACTGCCGCGCCGTACGGATCCTTTTAAATTCTGTGCCGATGACGTAATCTTGCCGATGCTCTCTTGCACCAATCCCGGTTTGTTGGCGCTTGCACGTGCAGTGCTGACGTCCGTCGATCCAGTGGCGTTGATAGCGACGACTGCTGCTTGAATGACGAACTTTTCGCCTGCAACGATAGCGAGGTCTTGAATAAATAACGTGCCGTGCGTGCCGCCGCTGCTGCTGTGTGATCAATCAATCAATCAATCAATCAATCAATCAATTTATCAATCAGTCAGTCAATCAATAAATTTATCAATCAATCAATCAATCAATCGTGACTGTGTATGGTTTAAATGCTCGGGCCTCGAGCAACCAACCAAGACGACGGCGACGCAAACAAACCAAAAAAAAAAAAAAACCGACTCGAGCAGACGAAACAGAAGCGCGCCGCGTAAACAAAATAGAAAAAAGACCGACTCGAGCAGATAAAGCACGAGCGCGCAACGTGCGCGGCCCTACACCTTCCGAGGCTTTGTATTTGAGAGAAAAAAAGAAAGGGTGGAATGGCAGCCAGCCCTCCCGACAACAAGAGAGGCGTCGCCGATCTGGAGACGATGACCACGACAGGACACGGCAACGGACCGCACGTGGATGGCAGGGATCCGCCAGGCGGTGGGGCCATTTCCAAGGCACTCGGTGTGCCCTCGGGCGGCCACGCGTCATCGGTCACTCGAACGCTGTCGTGCGCCAATGGCGACGCCCTGGCCTGTCCCGCTTCGGGAAGGGGCGAGGCGCTCGGAGTCTCCCTAGACAGGTCCTTGGATTTCTCAGCGGAGACGGCGCCCTATACGCTACTAATCATCGACGAAGAGGTGCTCGCCAGTCGCCATTCGCACCTGGCCACGCAGGCGGAGCTTACAAAAGGTATGTGGCTCATGCATTTCTGGCAGACACACAAGCGTAACGGCTCGCGCCTTTCATTTTTAGCCTTGCAATCGATCTGGGATAACATTACTGCGAAGTAAACAGGGCTTCCGGAACCGGGAAGGCAAGGGGGGCGTCCGCCCCCCTCATGTTTTTTTCGTAGGGGACTTGCCCCCCCGACGCTGAAGGCTGACCCACAACCCTCCCTTAATGTAGTCACAGCAACATGCTACCGCGCCTTCCAAGCTTGATGCGGAATAAGAAAGGACAGCGACGTTTTGTCGGGACGAGAATTGGTAGTAAAGCTGATAGCCCCGTTAAGTGCTGGAGTAAACGTTTCTTCTGAGCCAGCCTTGAGGCGCGCGTACTTGTCACATCTTCATCACTGGCAGCGGGACGGGGACAGCTTAGGAAAGGCACCTTTCTACCATTCCTTGTCATCGGAAAGGATGGCGGGGAGGAGGCCTCCCTCCCGGCTCTGGATAAGCCTCCCCAAACGTAAAACCTCTTACCGCGGAAAATTGGTCTCTGGCAGAGCGCTTCGACGAACAGCAGTCCGGAGCATTTGTCCTTCGAGGGACTGCCCACTCTCTTTGACGAGTTTTGCTTGGGATCGGCTCTTCCAAGCTCGGCCATGACAATAGCGTGCCAATTAAGCGCACTGATTCCATAATGGCCGGAGAGGGTTCAGAGCCGTCCTAGCATGGGAGGCGCCCCTTGAAGTTTCTGCACGACGTCTAGACGCGAAAAGCGTTTCTGCCATCCGTCAATCATTTTCGTGCTTTTGTTCGGTGTGACAGGAGAGGCCACGGAAACGCCTTGTGTGCTAGAGATTTTGAAGATCTCTTCTTGTTACTCAGAAAAGATTTCGGCTAAACAAAGGTCGCTTCCTCCATTCCGGTTTTTCCGCGGGTACGATCTTGAAAGTGTGTGTGGGGGGGGGGGGGGGGGGGGGGGTAATCTGCACTGCAAGGATGTGAGCCTTGACCCCCGCCCCCCCCCCCCCCCCCCCCTTCCCCCCGATCAGAATCGACTTCCGGAGCTCCTGGAAGTAAATATTTATAATTTTTTTTTGTTATTATTGTTATTATCATTCGGCAGGCACAGAAAAGTGTTAAATTACGGACTCTTTGTAGATTTACCGGTATGTATCAGCTGTTATCCCCTCTTTCCCTGCCCCCACTAATGATGGCCGTCCGGCCTCTGGCTGTGACAACCAAGTTACTATTCGCAAGCCTTCTCTCTTTCTCTCTCTCTCTCTCAGTTCACAGGTGCGAACTGGTAGTCTCTTTACCACCACCACGTTGCCAACCTTTCTTTTGTCACATCGGTTCTAAGGTTTTTTGCACATCTTCGATAGCTCTCTCAGCTTGTTCTTGCAAAGACTGCTGGTTGACTCGTTCACATTCAATCGGAGAAGTCAGTTAACTAAGTTTACTGTCACTTTCCGGTAAGCAGCCGTAATGAAGTTCAAGGGCAGTCTTTCCCGTAGTCTGGCTTACAGATGCGTTGATGTGGAATTGCGTGTTGCGCAAATGGTCGTCCCAGTCTTGATGAGTCTTACACTCAGTCGCACAGAAGATAGTTGGTATAAGGACCCTCCTATGCGCTCGACTTGGCTATTTGCTCTTGGGCGCTGCGTTGATGTGAATGTGCTCTTGATGCCTCGCGATATAAAAAAACAGCTGCAACACTTTTTAATAAAACAAGTGCCTCGATTAGAAATCATTCTGCGAGAAGTGCCATACTCGTCGATAACTTTCTTCAGAAATCCGACAACGTACTTGGTTTCAGTCTGGGTTAGGCAATATACCGAACAAACTTGGTGAAGTTGTCGACGTGAACTAGCAACATGTTGTTGCTAGTTCCTAAGAACGGTCCTAAGTGATCGATGTGAACAATCTCCAATGGCCTTTGACCTGACTCAACAGGATCGAGAGGTCGTTGAACCTTTCCCCCTGGAGTCTTGAGGAAAACACATTCCACGCACTGCCGTACACGTTGCTTGACGTAGGACCCTATCTTTAAAAACCAAAACGTCTGTCTAATCTCTTTTGACAAAAAAGCGCCGCCAGACAGGGACAGAGTAAGGGAGACAGCACGAAGCGCTATTTTCAATTAAATGTTCATTGAAACAACACACACTGTTTATACACCCCACAGGGCTTTTCAAGAGAAGCCCCTTTGGGTGTTTAAATAGTGTGTGTTGTTTCAATAAGCATTTAGTTGAAAGTAGCGCTTCGTGCTGTCTCCCTTACTCGGTCCGTGTCTTGCGGCGCATATTGTCAAGGGATCATGTACCAACTGGCCCATCTGTCACTATTGATGTCTGTCTAATGCGTGCGACGATCTTGGCAGTTGAAATATTTCCATCAAAATTGTGGTACTTTGCTAGAATCAATTCTCGTATACTTAATGGCTGCACAAATATGTTTTTATTTGTGTCATCGTCTTGCTGTTCGTACTAAATAAAAGATTGTCTTAGCTTGAATTCCTTCACTTTCTGTTTGTCAGCTTTGGATTGTTGGTCTCGTGGATGTTGCAGTATGTTCATTTTACGTCACAGCTCTTGATCTTGTGTCTGAATCTTTGCCGTTTTGTCTTCCAGAGGCACCGTGTTATGAACTAGGGTAGTACACAACTCATAGTGTCCTGTGGGCTCGAACTCTTTTGCTTGAGTTTCCTGGCATTCTTGAATAGGTGCGCGGCTAAGGGCGTCCACATGTGGCGCCTTCGGAGTGCCCGACCGGTGTCTGATGGTGAAATCAATCTGGTGTAGTTGTTCGAATCATCTTGAAATTGTTGTTTTACAACCCTCCACGTGTTGAAATAAATGGTGGCACTGCAGTCAGTTACCATCGTAAATTTTCAAGCGAAGGAGGAAGCTTCGCAGCCTTCCTACTGCCCACAGGACTGCAAGAAGTTCAAGCAGGCTGAGTTTGTAATTTTATTCCACATCGCTCGTGCATCGACTTACGCAGTAAAATAAATACCATGTTTTGGCGTCTTCCTTTTGTAGAAGCGTGCCAGCCAGTCCTTCAGAAGTTGCATCTGTATGCAATTCTTTCTCACTTCTAAGTTTAAAAAAAAACAACTGTAGAATTAGATCTCACACAAACTTATTCTTCAGCTTGTTGAAGGTGTGGTCGATGTCTATTGACCGTTTGAAATCAGTTTGAGACCAAAGAAGTCTGTGGAGAGGTGCTGCAATAACAGCATGACACGGCCCAAATTTTCTGAAAAAGACTCGTTAGTCCGAGGAATATCTTCAACTGCGTCACATTTTTCGGCGTTGGTAGCTCAGATAATGCTGCCAACTTTCTCAGTCCTGAGTCTATTCCTTTGGTTATGAGCACGAAACCCAAGTATTCCACTTCAATTTTTGCAAACTCACAGCTTGAAAGACGCAGTGTTAGTCTTGCCTAGGAGATGGCGTCGAATTCTTGTAGCTGGCCGATTGTTTCCTCCCCGTTTAGCGCCCTAAGAAGTATGCCGTCGAAATAGCAAGTAGCCCCACTCCAACCCAAGGGGCAGAGGACCTTAGAGATAATTGTTTGATACACAGGTGGACCATTGGTCAGTCCGTAGAACATTTGTGAGGTATTGAAGTGTCCGCCAGGTGTAGAAAACGCTGCTTTCTGCATGCTCGTTTAACCGCTTAATTCAGAAGAATATGTAGGTATCCATACGCCATATCCAGCACCGCAAACAAACTGTTTCCTGCAAAACGATGCAACACATTGTCGATTAGTAGTAATGAAAAACAATCTCGGATAGTTTACACATTGAAGCGGCGGAAATTCACCATCGCCCTATACTTTCCAGTTTTCCGCCCGACTGGTATACTCTGACTCATTGTACGATCCCGATCAATATGAGTGCGAACACCGCTCCGCGTGGCGCACGCAGAGCCGTTTACTAAGAGAGGTTGGCCATACATTGGTTTGAATAGGCGAGCATCTCGGAACCAACCACAGGCCGCGAAACAGCCCCTGGCGGTGGTCGTGTGCTCTAAGTATGTGACACGACCACTGATATCTATGTCTACTTGCTGGATCGCTTTTGACCAGCTCCGCCTATGGACGGGAATGAGGCCACGGTCGGCCATCTTTTTGGTAGAGTTATATTATCTCTAGCCATCATAGTAATATGGCGGACAGCGCAATGGCGGCAGGCTGCAATAAAACAGCCGTAGGCCTAGTACATTGTACCGTGGGTGATATTTCGTGTTTGATTGAAGTTGTTCGATGGAGCAGATTCACGAAACCCGGCGTGAACGGTAGCCTCATCTTTGAAGACCCGGCGAAAGTTCTACGAAAGCGCAGCTCCGGGGGAAAGCAGTGCAGCTCGCATCGAAAACAAACTCCGTACCAAGTAGACCGGCATCTGATTCCGATGCTTCTTTCGATGCGACTTTCACTGCGTGCTGTGCACTTTTCCCCGGTGCTGCGATTTCGTGAAACTTTCACCGAGCCCTCAAAGATCGGGCTACCGTTCACGCCGGGTTTCAAAAACATGTTTCGTCAAACAATTTCAATCAAGCACGAAATATCACCCACCCTATTTTGACGGCGGCCTCCCGCCACAGCTGCCAAAATGCTTTCTGCCATAGACGGACGATAATGGCTGCAGCAGCTTACATTGGCTAGACGTAATATAACTCTACCGAAAAATGGCCGCCCGTGGCCGCATTCGCGGAGTGGGCAAACGCGATCCACCAATTGTCATAGAGATCAGTGGACACGACTATAGGGAGTATTCACTGGCGGCCATAGATGTGTGCGCGAATGCTGAGCGCGTGCTGATGGCGAGCTTCCACAGTTCTTTTGCAACGTGCATTCCGCATCATCAAGAGTGCCGGTCTTAGCAGCCTATTGATGTGAGCTCGTTCTGAGCATGCGCTCTAAACAGCACCCACAAATATGACGTCCAATGAATACTCTCTATACAGTTTCACCTCATGATGTACCGCAGGAAAGGCTACAAGCGCAAGCTCTTTGCTCTAGGGCACATCTCGGCGGCACAAACTCTCGAGCGTTAAGAGCAGCTCCCAACGCTATGAGCTCGCGCTTCTAGCCTTCTCTGCGGTACAACATAAGGTGAAACGGAGTATAATTTGAGTCGTTTTAGCGTCGCTAGAGTGGAAGGTTTTTATTAATTAATTAATTTATTTATTTCAATACCTTCAAAGCCACACGGCATTACAGAATTGAGTGGGGGAAAAACAAGAGTACAAAAATAGAATTAACAGATATTAGTTAACATAATAGTTTTCAATGGCAGACTTGAATGCAGGAGCGTCTGTGATTGTGGCGATGGAAGTGGGCAGGTGGTTCCAGTCATTAGTAGTTCTTGGGATAAAAGAATCAAAAAAGAGCTTCGCGCGACTGAAAGGAACGTTGACTTTATGGTGATGATCATTTCGATGGGGTACATACGATGGTTCAGAAAAAGTCTCTTCACTTAGATGCTGGTTGCAATGATAAATTTTGTGAAATGAGGACAAACGAGATAATTTTCTACGCAATGAAAGATTCGGAAGATGTAAAGTTAGTTTCATGGATGATACACTGGAAAAACGTGAGAAATTAGACAAAATAAAACGTGCGCCACGATTTTGTACGGATTCAATTTGATTGATTAGAAATTCATGGCTTGAGTCCCACACCGAACTCGCATACTCAACGAGGGTCTTGTACAGTTGTAGTTTTAATGATGAAGGAGCCCTTGAGAAGTTGCGGCGTAAGTAACCTAGCATGCGATTAGCGTTGTTAGCAATAAAATTAATGTGATCTTTAGCTCTCAGTGACTGAAAACTTTGTGTATATGAGGTTTTAGTCACGCCAATATTCAAATGTAGAATAAATTAAAGTCACTAGATCCTGGGAAAGTAACGCCAAGCTCCTCGTGTGGTAGCCATCTTGGTCCATGAAATGAGCAATTTCTCCTTGACCCCTCCGTTCTTGGTGAGCCTATCTAGATTCACTGGTGACGGGTAGCTTCATTGAGTCGTTTTTTGTATACCGACATTTTGCTAACCACACACCGGCGAAACAGGCGTACACGTTTGGACCACCACCAGATGCTGTGTCGGTGCTTGGAGGCACTGAAAAATAAGTTTACTGTCTTGAAATGCGCAAGAAGAACAATACAATTGTAAGAGATCCATGGAGATGGGCCTGATTAATAAGTTGATCGCATACGAAGTGCCAAAGACTCTTATATTGAAGAGGAACGCTTCCAGTACGATGATGCTCCATGGTGATCTTGGCGCGACTGGTTTAGAACGACCCCCTGAAAGCTTCGAAGATTTAAATGGACCAAGATGGCGATTTTCATGACAACGTAGGCCGTTTCGTCTACGTTGTCATCGGCGCCATGACACCCGCATCGCCGGCCCAGCCTACGAAGGCATGTACGTTCGATGTTTCCTGCCCGCCCGGCGCGTCGGTGGATTCTATCTTCGACGCGGCGGCGGCCATTGTCGGCACTGCCGAATTGTTCTCCGTGCAGCATCTGGGAGGCAGCAACTTTCAGATGTCTGTTACATCGTCATCGGCCATGAGCCGAATCGTCAACGCCGGGGCTCTGACCATCGGCGGAACAAGCGTCCCCATCGTCCCGGTAGGCCCGCAAGTAACGTCCATTACGTGCCTCTACCTACCGATTTATGTGAGAAACGAAGCCCTCGCCGCCGCCCTGTCGCTTTACGGGAAGGTTCTGGATATTCGCTTCGGCGTCTACCAGGACCACCCCAACCTCCGGACGGGTACCCGCTACATCCGAATGGAGATGAAGGAGTCTACCCCAGTGCCGAACTTCCTCCGCGTCTCCGGTCATCGGGCCACCTTCGACTACCGCGGTCTCAAGAGAGTCTGCCGACGCTGCCAGCAGGAGGGCCACCTCAAGGCGGCCTGTAACGTGCCCTATTGTGCCCGCTGCGCCGCCTTCGGCCACGACACCGTCAACTGCGCGGCCGGCTGCGGACGCTGCGGAGCGGCCCACGCCACGGTGGACTGCACCCAGCGTCGCAGCTACTCAGCCGTGGCCGGCTGCGGCCAGGACGACTTCCCGGCCTTGACTCCGGCGTCCCAGACTCCGAAGTCCCAGGGCAGGCCTCCTACCACCCCTACTCCCCCTCCTGCGGCGACGGCCGCCACCCAAGGGTCCGGTGACACGCCTGCCCCCGCCGAGCCCCCAGTGACGACCCCGTCCGAGCTCGCCCCGACATCGCAACAGTCGAAGCCGGCAAGCGCCACCGACGCGAATTCGAACGCGTCACAGGACGCCGCCGAGGCCGCGCTTTCGAATGCGGTCCACACCGCATCTGTGCACGCGCCCACTCCTACCAGTCCCGGCTCAGAGGAAGTACTGGTGAAGGAGGAACGCCCGCGAACGCCGGAACTCTGCCCCAGCCCGCTTCCCAGCTGGAGCGACATTACGGAGGACTCTGCCTCATCGTCGGACGACCGCCTCGTCATCGACGAGGTTGCCCACGACAAAGACAGCGCTCTGCCGCGCGGCCGAGATCGTCGCCGCGGCACCTCCGAGGAATTCCGAAAAACCTGCAGCCGCAGTCGCAGCCCGCATGGCGGTGCCGAAGACGGTAACCGAGATCTTTCCAGCAGCGGCGAATCCGGGTCCCCAGGATCCACTCCAGCATCGGCAGCGGCGCCCAAGCGGTTACGGAAGGACCTCGTCGCGCTGTCTGACAGCTCGTGCATCACATCCGATACATCCACGGACTAGCAGTGAACACAACGACCCCCCCCCCCCCTCCATCCCCTTTTCGCGCACCTGCGAGTCATCACCCTGAACGTTCAGGGCTTCCGCAGCGTGACAAAACAGATCGAGGTCATCCAGTTCGCCCGAACCGCCCGTTGCGACCTCCTGTTCCTGCAAGAAACGAACTTCCACAGGCAGCGCGACGTGGACCTCTTCAAGCAGCGGTATGGGGTGGATTGTTTCTTTTCATACGCCACTACACGGAGCTCGGGGGTGGGGGTCATTATCTTTAACCGCTCGCTCCTCCGTCTCAGCGCGTGCTGCTTTGACCCCGACGGGCGGTACATCGCTTTTGATTTCTTCGTGGACGGCACGCGCTTTCGTGCTGTGGGCGTGTACGCTCCAGCCCAGCGTTCGCAGTCCCCGGCCTTTTTCAAGAGCCTGGACGTCCATCTGCTCGACGCTCGCCACTGCCTGCTCCTCGGCGACTTCAACTGCGTCGTCAATTCCCGGCGCGATGTCAGGGGCCCAGGCTACGGACGCACCACGTGGAACGCCGGCGAGCTGATACGCCTGATGCGACACTTCGACCTAGTGGACTGCTGGACTCTCCTCCATGGCATCGCTTTCGAGCATACCTGGCAACGAGGAAACTCGAGCAGTCGCCTGGACAGGTGTTACATCTCCGAGTTTTTGAGCCCCTCTGTCACCGCCTGCTGCGCAATGAACTTCCCTCCCTCCACTACGTACATTTCCGACCACCGTCCGGTACTCGTAGAGCTCCGCTTCAGCAGCAAAGCCAGTACTCAACGCACCTGGCGTCTCGACACCCGACTGCTGCGAGACAAAACAAGCCGCGACTGTCTGAGAGAAGCCTTGCGCCGGTCCCTCCATGGAGCGGCACCAGACCCCTTGACCTTTGACCGGCTTCAAGACAGCTGGCGGGTGGCGTGCGTGGCGGAGGGTCGTGCACTGCGTCGGCGGCACGCCGAGCAGCTCCGAGACACCTCTCTGCGAATTCGGATCGTGCGACGGGGCGGCACGGGGACTCCGCTAATGCGGGGCTACCTGCAGCAGCTCCTCGACCGTTACCAGCGACAGCTACGACTTTGTACCAACGCAGCCACAGCCTACCACGGACGGGTCGGGCCCTCGGCTCACCCCGAGGTGCTGCGCTACGCCCACCGCACCGAAGTGCGGGAGCGACGCGTCCCTTCAGTGCCGACAACCCCAGGCGCGCCAGCAACACCAGGTCAACCGTCGGTCTCCGGTTTCAGCGCCCACTTCCGGGCCCTGGCAACCACCGAATCGGCGGTGGACCGTGCGACCCTCGTGGCGCACCCCTTCCTACGCGATCTCCCGCAAGTTCCCGAAGACCTAGCCGCACACCTGCACGAGCCCCCCAACCCCGAAGAGGTGCTCCTTGCCCTGTCAAGAATGAAAACTGGGTCCGCGCCGGGCCCAGATGGGTTTCCCGCCGAATTCTACCGTACCTTCTGGGACGTGCTGGGCAACTATATCTGTGCCGTGCTCCGGGAATTTTTCACGGAGCACCGCCTTCCAGAGTCGTTCCGCCGAGGCAGAATCATTCTTCTGCCTAAGGAGGGAGGAGACCCCAACGACCCGGGCGCGTGGCGTCCCATCACGCTACTCAACGCAAGCTACAAGCTGCTAGCGTCGATCATCACGCAGCGCCTCCACGGCATGCTCCCGGACGTGGTGACACCCCACCAGACGTGCTCGATCGTCGGCCGCAGCATTCAGACCCTGACATCCCTGACGAGGGACGTGGTGCAGTACACGAACGCTCGCCAAGCCAGAGGCCTGATCGCCTCCCTCGACCAAGCGAAGGCTTTCGACCGGGTGGAGCACCCGTTCCTCCTGGCCGTGCTCACCGCTTTCGGTATTCCCCCTGAAGGGGTTCGACTCTTCGAGACGCTCTACAGTGACATGAAAAGCGACCTCTATCTAAACGGCGGTGTGACGGCCAGCTTCCCCGTCACCCGGGGGGTCCGCCAGGGTTGCCCGCTCTCGCCGCTGCTCTTCGTCCTTACCCTGGAGCCCTTCCTAGCCAACGTCGAAAGGACCCCCCAGGTCCGCGGACTCTCCCTGCCCGGAAACGGCGAGGTGAAGGTGTCGGCATACGCCGACGACATTACACTGTACCTGCGGGACACCGACGACCTCGGAGCGGCTCTCCGGATCTTCGAGACCTACGGGTATCTCTCCGGAGCGAGGTTGAATGAGCAGAAGAGCGCGGTGCTGTGGGTTAACCGACCGCCTGACCCCTCTTCACCGATCCCGGCAAAAACTTCGGTCACGATCCTTGGTGTCACCTACCGCTCGTCAGGAGTCTCGGCGGACATGTGGACGCGCCTGGCGCGCGACATCGGGGAGAAAGTGGACTCTGCTCGCTCCTACGCCCTTCCCCTGGCCGAGCGCAGGTACCTAGCCTACTCTGTCTTCTGTGGACGCCTCTGGTATCTGGCGCAAACGGCGCTCCCGACCTCACGTTTCATCCGACCGGTGAAAAGCGCGCTCTACAGCTTCTTCTGGTCAGAGAAGACGGAGCTGGTCACTCGGCCGGTTGTCTGCCTCCCGCGCGAGCGTGGAGGGTGGGGCTTTCCCTGTGTCGACATCGCACCCGCAGTACTCCAACTCAAGACCATGCTGAAGATATTGCGCGATGAGCACGGCCCAGCCCGATCCCTCGCGCTCTACTTCGTGGGGCACTCCCGCCGAGAACTGGGAGTCGAGTCGCCGAGCTCACCCGGCCCCTGTGCCGAAACCCCGCCGTCTGACTACCGAAGGGCAGTACAGCTCTTCAAACGTCTCAAAGAGCGGGCGCCCCAGCTGGACGTAGTGGAGACACCGACGGCTCGTCTCACAGAGGTCCTCCTGGAGCCGCAGATTTCGGCAACGCAGGTGGAGCTCGGAGACTCTTTCTCCTGGTCCCGCCTCACTTCTTCGTATCTCCCGGGGCACCTACGGGACTTCGAATGGCAGCACGGTTGGGGCGTCCTCCCCAGCGGAGACCGCTTGCTCCGCTGGGGAGTGTCGCGCACGGACGAGTGCCCTAACTGCGGGAATCGCGAAACGAATGTGCACGCGGTGAAGGAGTGCGTTGTGGCGCGGACGTTCTGGCGCGTCATCCGCACCAGCTTCCGCGGTTTGGGCGTAGGACTTTACCTGCTGCGCGGGAGATGCCCTCCGGGGGTCTTCGTCCGTCTCCTCCTCGCCGCGGCCGAGTACGTGCTGTGGAGGAACCGGTGCTGCGCGGTGAGACAGGCGCGTCGATCGCGTGCTCTTTGGCCCCTCCTGTGGCGGCTCCGGCGGGAGCTCGTGGGACACCTCGAGGAGCAACTGTTTTTCTTCGGAGAACAAGAGTTCCTCAGGCGCTGGTCCTGCCGGTACCTGAGCGTTCGCGACTCGCGGATTGAACTCCGCTTCAGGTACCTGGACAACCTCTAGGTCCCTGAGTTCAGAGCGGGGCCGTTGGGGGCGCGGGCGCGGGTGTGCGGCTCTGGGATGACGCTTCGGCCGCGTGAGTGATCGCGCGGACGGGGACACCTCGGGGTGTGCGCCTTTGAACTTATGCGTGTGGCTCCGCGGCAAAGACCCGCCCACTGTACAGACACTGGTTCGCGCATATATGTCTACACAGTGTTCTTAACCTCTGCGCGTCTCTTACAAAATCCTGTCCACAGTGTTGCAAATAAATTTTCTAATTAGGCCGATTAGCCAATCGCCTTGCGAGGTTTGGGTCGTCTGTATGTTAGTATCCGTTTGTGTCCGGCTAGCAGGTAGGGAAGGCAATGGCGCTACTCTCTCAGAATCCAGTGACTTTAGAATAAATGAACGTGCACTCCAAACGAGGGCCGACTTGCTAGAAAAAGCGTCTCAGCCGAGACGGGGGAAGAAAGCACTGCCAAAGCCAGCGCACGAGCCGAGCGGGACTCCGCGTGTCAAGACGCTCGCGGCGCCCCACAACTGTTTTCTTTCAGCCAGTCTCAGCTTAGAAGCTGTTCTAGCAAGCCGGCCCAGAGCGAACTGTCACCTATACTCCATCTGCACAAACATCAGCAGTGCAGACAAAGGCATGGGCACGAGCGCTTGGCTTTGGAAAGTGCCTCATATGCACGAGTTCTCGTACAAACAAAAGCGTTTTGTTGAGCTAGGCTCACGCGCCTGTGCCTTTGTCTTTAGCGCAGACATTTGTGAGATGGAGTAGAGAGGCCGAGATTGAACGCTTCTATAAGGTGTTTTCACTGACGTAATTTTGTCCACCATTTTGGTGTTGTGAGCTGTCTGGCGTGTGCCAAACTCGAGCATTCCGATGATTTACATGCCCCCTCATATGCGTAGAGCACCGCTGACATCATCTCAACCGGTTACGATGTAATCCTTCAATGTAGTAAATTTGTTTGAAAAAACAAACTAACAACAAAATGGCGAATTGACGTCACATGCAAACAACCTATTTCACGCTTTAAATGTCGATTGCAATATTGTGACGTCGCGGTCTCCTGATTGGTCAACGCTGTGTCACAAATTTAGCTTACACTCTAAGCGCGGGGGGAAGTTTCGGCGCTGGCGGCGGCCTTCGCTCCGCCTATTGGCCAGACTCTCCTAATGCACGGCTCTGGGCGCGCGATACTATCAGCGCCCTCTGGCGATTGCTCTTTGAAGCACCAGCGTACCTTGCGGTCGAGACATATCGTCTTTAGCGATCGCCGCACCACTCTGCACTTCCGAGTCGTCTGCTTGCGAAAAAAGCAGCGCGAGAAAAACTACGAGGATGTCCCTGTGGGTCTTCGTCCTCGTAGTTTTTATCGCGCCGTTTTCTATGATGAAGGGTATCACCCAAGCTCGCACCGCGCAAACTTCTTGTCTGTGCGCATTGGTTGTGCTTTGCACTCGCAAAACTCACGTGAAGTAAATAATAGGCAGTCTTAGTTGATCGTTTTAATACCTCCGATAATAATATGATGCATGCTTAAGGGCGTCGGAGAAGTAACGGGTAT